TAGTCAGATCAACTTTTCGGGGTCACTTGTCTTCATCCACAGGTGGCTCCTGGGGTGGAACTCAAGTTGTTGTCATGTTTGGCAGCAAACAGCTTACATGCTAAGCTCTTGTGCTAACCTGAATCCTTTTTTTTTTTAATTTACAAGTTTTAATTTATAATATCGTTGGTGTTAGAAATATGCATTTTACATAAACTTAAGAGAGTAAAGAGACAACAAAGCCTGAAATCTGACTGCTAAGCTTAATGTTACTCTGGCAGCACACACCAAAGTTTGTTTCTTGTTATTTTTCTTTGTCTTTTCTTGATTATCCTTAGTTATCATGTACATACCATGGCTTCATATGTTGTAAGGGTTCTTGAGGGTATTTCAGTTGTTCATGCTGCTTAGTATTTGTCCCATTGATAGAGCAGCATGCTTACTTTCCCATTCTTTATTAATCTAGCTAATTCTGAATTTCATTTCAATCACAATGGCCTAGCTTTGTTTAGTAGCATTTTCGATTTTGTGCCTATAAAGCATAATGGATTTTTTTTAAGCATCTCAAAACTAAACACAGAACAAACCAGTGAAGATCAGAAAGTCAATTAAGTGACATCACAAGTTCATTATTACTGGCTGGGCATGCTGACACATACATGTAATCCAAACTCTCAGAAAACTGAGACTGAAGGTCTACCAGATGTTCAAGGCCAGCTATATTGTAAGTACTAAGCTAGATGAGGGCTACATAACAAGACTGTGCCTCAAACAACAACAAATTTTGTTATTTCTTAGTAGTAGATGCAGTTAATACTCTTGCTCTGGAAAATGACTTTATCATTAAACATAAGTAGAAGATGGTCTTTAATCTGTCTAAATTTGGCTATAAAGGAAAATACCTGAGAGGTGGTTTCCAGGTTTTAGTAGGTTGGGTTGGAAAATTAAAAATGAACAGTCTCCTTTATCCACAGCTTGACTTTTGCAGTTTGAGCTACTCATGATAAGCTATAAATACTTTAACACTTTCAAGAGAGAGACCAGGTTTACATAACTTTCATTGTGTATATTGTTATAATTGTACTACATGATTATTGTTGTTCATCTCTTTCAAGTTGGGTCTGAATAATAGGGGTCATTACTATTACTGTACATGGCTTCAGGCATCCATTGGGCTTCTGTAGCCTCAAATAAGAGGGGACTGTTATCTTAGATTTTAAGCTCTGAGTGACTGGGCAGTTGAAGACATCCATCATTAGCAGTGTCCCTGCCTGTAGGAAAGACTAAGGCAGAAAAGCCATATGGTTGAGGCAGTCAGGAACTCATAGTGAGCCCTCTCTCAAAAAAGAGGGGTATGAAGAGAAATTGTGGCAACAGAATGTTAGCTCAGTTTCAGATACTGAATTTGAAATGTGGCAAACACATCCAAGTGGAATTATCAAGCACTCTCTTGGTCACTAGAAACCCATAATTGAAGTTAAGGAAGTATGTTGGAGATTTGAGATTGATTTAATCAGATATAGTAGTCAAATCTACCGTTGTTTACTCCTTGCCATACCACATCTGTGTGTGTGTGTGTGTGTGTGTGTGTGTGTGTGTGTACACGTACTATGTGTTAGCAGTGGGATACTTTACATATACTCATTGAATTCCTATACCTAAATTAGGTCATCCAGCTTCTTTGACAATACAGTGCTGATTTAGAGCCCTCTGATTAAAAAAGCAAAAACAAAGAGCTTTGTAAACTGGACATTGAATCTAGGGATTTATGCAGTGCATAGCAAACACTATATTGAGCTATAGCCTCAACCCATTTTTACTTTTATTTTAACACAGAGTCTCATTTAAATTGCCCAGGTTGTCCTTGAACATTGTGTAACTCAAATAGGCCTCAAACCTGTGATCCTCCTGCCTTTTCTCTGACTGATTTTATAGGAAGTGAAGGAGTCTTACTACATTTTGGGCACTACAAAAAGTGTGGGAAACCAGCTTAGAGGCCAGCTCCCACATTTTACTCCAGGATACTCTTGAGGAGAGAGGGATAAGAGATTTAGATAGAAGGATAGAGGGGAGGGAAACAGAAACACAGGATAGCCTCGGGAGGGCCTGGATCCTAATCCACCGGCCCCTTCTGTCTCTTCTAAAGGGCTATTTATAGGAATGCCAAGGGGTGGAGCAAAAGACCTCCCGCTAGCACAGCCAATTGCAGACCCTTTCCAATCACCTGGTAACCACACATGTGGTCAAGCAGTCCTCTAATGCAGCCCTGCTGGGTAAAGCAAGTTCAGATCTCACTAGGAAACCTTTGTGGGCCTCCACAAAAAAGACTTTTTTTTTTTTAATTAATGTATAGTAATGTATTAAAGGACTTGGTACATTTATCCTTACGTCAGTCTTCTGTAGTTTAAATGGACAGATATCACGGATGTCTGTCCATGGCAGATGTAGAATTAGAAACCTTAATTGGAATTGAAGAGTAGATACGATTTAAGGTACATACAGTTTATTGGGAAGACTTGAGATAATAGGTTTCTAAGAAAAGAAGTTAGACTCAGTGGCATGTACGTTGGCCCTCAAAGCTAGGTCCAGGAAACCTGACTGGGAGCTTAGATGATTAAGACAGACACAGTAATGTAAAGCTGGAATCAGGTGAGTTGTGTGATCAGATGGAGACATGTCAGCAGCGAGATGCACAGTGCATTCATAATATAGCATGGTTGAGAAGGCAGGTTAGTTCATCTCTGTAGGGGAACAGTCAGAGAGGGGGTTGCAGCATGGGAGAAGGGACAAGGAAACGCAGTACATACTTTTCGCAGTGTACTGCTTAGCAAAAAGTCAACCATTTGTCAATATTCCTGCTTACACCAGGGAAGACCTTATCGTCTGAGGCACTGGAGGCCTTTACTTGGCCACGCTCCTCTCATGAATATTCATTTACTCAGGAGTATGCTCACTCTCTAAGGCATGGGCCTGTTGTAATCTAGCTACTAGGGTTGCTAAGGCAGCATAATCTTTTAATCCACTTTAGTTAGCTTTGGTTTTGTTTTTGAGACAGGGTCTAGCTATGTAACCGTTTCTCAGTCCTGCTCAACCTCATGAGTACTGGGACTATAGGCATGTACGCAGGAATTCAAGGCCAGATTTAGCAGTAAACAAGATCCAATATTTAAAATAAAATTGAAGGGGCTGGAGAGTTGGCTCAGTAGTTAAGAGCACTTGTTCTTATAGAAGACTCAGGTTTAATTCCTGGTACCCACATGGCAGTCTATACCTCCAGGGGATTTAACATTCTCTTCAGGCCTCTGCGGGCACCAGGAATACACTTGGTATACTCTACATACATGTAAGCAAAACAGTCATACACATAAAATAAAAGAATCTAAAAAAAAATGTTTTGTTTTGTTTTTTGAGACAGGATTTCTCTGTGTGGTAGACTTGGCTGTCCTGGAACTCACTCTGTAGACCAGGATGGCCTCACTCAAGAGATCCACATGCCTCTGTCTCTGTGTGCCTCCACCAAATGGCAAAAAAAAAAAGTTTTAAAAAAACTTTACTGTAGTTTTCGTTTACACTTGCAGATTGAAAAATACTTCTGAGACAGTCAGAATATACTAATGTGCTAATGTCTGGCATCTTCATAATCACTTTTCCCTTACTTGGTTTTCAAGCAACAGTACTACAAATAAGAGAGCTTTGAATATTCTAGCGCAGGCTGTGGCTGTAGCTCAGAGTTATGTGACTAGTGTTCTGTGGTGTTGGACTTGATCCCTAGCACTTCAAAAGTTGAAATTATTATTCTAGTCCAACAATAACTTTTCAATCTTTCGTTTTGTTGTTTCAGTCAATATTAGCAATCTTTAATATTTTTAGTTTTACCAAGGATCAAAAGTAGGACCTTTCCCTTGAAAGAGACTCTATGTGGCTAAGCTAAATCTCTAGCCTCTTTTGTTGTTGTTGTTATTGTTTAAATACCATTTTGTTACAGGACTTGCCTGACTTTGCAACAGTTTTGACAATTTTAAATTAAAAGACATTATTATAACAAGCCCTAACTTTTCACCAGAGGAACTGCTTTCTTTCTGTATAGAAACAATTTGACACTTAGGAGAGTTGACTGTGAGTTCTAGAAAGAAAAGATTTCTATTCTATTAACAATTGTCCCAGGACTGGGAAGCTAGCTCAATGGTAGAATGTTTGCCCTAATATACAGGAGGCCCCGGGTTCTACTCCCAAGATTAGACACCCATCCCACCCCCCGTGCAAGGAAGAGGACAGTTGTTTTTTTAGAGACAGGTATTTTATTATTGACAATTACAAGTCACTGGAAAGAGACTCGTGTATTAGTTATGTTACAATACCATGACCAAAAGCAACTTAAGGAAGAGTTTTATAGCCGGGTGGTGGCAGAACACGCCTTTAATCCTAGCACTTGGCGGGCAGAGATAGGCAGATATCTATGAGTTCAAGGCCAGCCTGGTCTACAGAGTGATTTCCAGGACAGCCAAGGCTGTTACAAAAAACCCTGTCTTGAAAAACAAACAAACAAAAAAAACCCAAAAAAACAAAAACAAAAAAGAGTTTTATTTTAGCTTTGGTTTCAGGAGGAAGAGTCCATTATATATGGAAGGAAGTAGTAGGCATGGTGGTTGGAGCAGGAAGCTGAGAGATGACATCTGACAAGCAGAGGTAGCAAACGGAAGGTGGAGTGAGGCTCCGAACTCCTCTGCCTGGGATGGACCTCCTCCAGCAATGCTCCATAAACTTCCCAAATGGCTCCACCAGCGTGGAGCTAGATGTTCAAATACATGAGCCTGTGGGGGACTTTTTTATTCAGACCACCACAACGTGTAATATGGAAAGCAGCTTCAGGGGTGGGTAGGTAGGGGTGTGTGTGTGTCTGTGTCTCCAAGCTCCAATAATCCTCCTGTCTCTGCCTCCACTCTCCCAAACTCTAGGGTTATAGGTACTTGCAAAGACACCCATTTCCCCCCAGCTTCCACCATGGCTGCTAAGGATCTAAACTCAGGTAAGATCCAAACTCACTGAATCAACTTCCCAGCTCTTAGGTTCTAATTTTAACTCTTGAGTTTTGTACAAAGCTGTGGATTGTAGAAACCAAATTATCTGAGGTCCACTTCCAATTCTGTTAAGTTACTAATTTAGCTAAGCTTTCTGGATTTTAGCACAAGGATCTGGCACCTGATGTTTAACTAAACTCTTTTCTGAACTATTTTTTTCATGTCTCAAATTCAAATTCCTTCATTCTGTTTGTGTTATGAAAAAATTGTTTTTATGTTAGTATTTTTATGTAGCTTTCTTGTATGAGCACATGTGCATGCCATGGTACATGTATAGAGGTCAGAAGCCAAACTTGGTATTGGTTCTCGCCCTTTACCTTGTTTGAGGCAGGGTATCTGTGCACTCCAGGCTCGCTGGCCCACAAGCTTCCTGTCTTACCATATGAGTGCTGACATTAGATGCACCACCCTGCTTACTTTTTTTTTTTTTTTTAACATGGTTCCAGGGATGCAAACTTAGGTCATCTGATTGTGTAGCAAGTACTTTTATCTATTGAGCCACCCCACTGGCCCAAGTAGTTTTTGTTTGTTTTTCTAAGAGGGGTGAAATACTGCCTCTTTTCAATTTTTCCATCTTTATCTTCTTAACCTTAAAAATAATGTTTAAGCCATGAATACTAATAGCTATGTAGTACATGAAAATGTTCCAGTTCCAGTGTCACATTGACTGGGCATATAGTTAATCTAGAGCGGTGGTTCTTAGCCCATGGGTCACAACCCCTTTTGGGGATCAAAATGACCCTTTCATGGGGATCACATATCAGATAATTGCATCACGATTCATAACAGTAGCAAAATTACAGTTATGAAGTAGGAACAAAAATAATTTTATGGTTGGGGTTACCAAAATGTGAGGAACTATATTAAAGGGTCGTGCATTAGGAAGGTTGAGAGTCACTGATCTTGAAGCACTTAGAATATTACTATTACCAAAGTAGAATGTTTCTCTGTAGTTGCCTGTGTCTACAGATTAGTGATTTCCAGAGCAGCTATTTGAAGTCCAGTTATTGATCAGTTTTGTCAAAGTCCTCAAATGAGTAACTTGAGATTGTCATCTGTTAATCGTTTGTGAGTAAATTAGAGCTTAAAGAATTAGGTTTCATCCCAGCACTAGGGAGGCAGAGGGAGACGGATCTCTGTGAGTTCGAGGCCAGCTTGGTCTACAGAGTGAGTTCTAAGACAGCCAGAACTACACAGAGAGACTCTATCTCAAAAAAAGGTGTGTGTGTGGGGGTCCTACATTAATTTGTTTAAAGAACCATTATTAATGTATAGTATCATTAATAGTTGTGGCAGTTATCAGTTATTGGCATGTTTGTGATTATTAGAATTCTCGGTTTTGGTGTGTGCTTATTGTTATCATTTTGCACTTCATGGGATTCAATTCAGGGTCATGGACATGTTAGGGAAGCACTATGTGTACCCATTGGGCTATATTCCAGCTCTTGCTATGTTGATCAACTTGTCTCTGATTCTTGAGTACTGGAACTAAAAGCATATGTCACCATGGCTAGCCTGAATTTTAAAAAAGTTAATTTTATGTTTTATGTGTATGGGTGTTTTGCCTGCCTGTGTATGCTTGTGCACCAAGTATATGTCTGGTGCTCATGAAGACCAGAAAAGGATGTTGGATCCCCTGGAATTGCAGTTACACATGGTTGTGAGCCACCATCTGGGTGCTGGGAATCAAACCCAAATCCTCTGCAAGAGCAACAAATGCTCTTAACCTCTGAGCCATCTCTCCACCTTCCAGCTTGTTTGTTTGTTTGTTTGTTTGTTTGTTTGTTTGTTGAGACAGGGTTTCTCTGTGTAACCTTAACTGTCCTAGAACTCACTCTATAGACCAGGCTGGCCTCAAACTCCCAGAGATCTACCTGCCTCTGCCTCCCCAGTGCTGGCGTTAAGGGCACGCGCCACCACCACCCAGTTCATTAGTAATTTTTTAAAGGAGGAAGGTTATGATAATTGTTCATCCATTGTATATTACCTATAGGCATCTAAGATAATAAAAGGAATTCCAGTAATATCACATCATGTAAATTATATGAATTCCAATATTAAATTTGTGAATTTTTAGTTATACATGTGCTTGTCTTTGTGATATCTGTGGAGTAAAGAACAAGAAAGAAAGATTTCTTATTGTCATAGCTGTTTTTTAAAATTAGGTTGAATATAAATTATATAAAAAGGACAATTTTGTGATGTTGAGATGGCTGCACTTATTACACAAATCTGACAACTTCAGTGCCATCTCTGGAACTCATGTAAACATAGCCAGAGAGAACTGACTGTACAAAGTTGCCCTCTTACCTCTGTAAGCATGCCTTTCTGAACCTAACATGCACACATAGGATAATACATTGTTTTAAGGAAAAAATTTGGTGCCAGATGTGGTAGCACATGCCTTTACTTCCAGCAATGGCGAGGGGGTGTGAGAAAATGAGAATTTAAGTACTTCCTTACATTTTGTAAAATTCATTGGATATAACCATGTTAAAAATTTATGGTGATGTTTACTTTGGTACCCTGAAAAATTTTTTTTCTCTTTTTTTTTGTTTTCCTAGACAGGGTTTTTCTGTATAGCCCTGGCTGTCCTGGAACTAGCTAGCTCTGTAGACCAGGCTGGCCTTAAACTCACAGAGACCTGCCTGTCTCTGCTTCCTGAGTGCTGGGATTAAAGGCCTGTGCCATTACTACCTGGCCCTGAAGTTTTAAAAGTAGATAAAAATGCTTCCACTTGTGCCAAGTGTGGGGGAGCACACCTTAATCTCAGCACTCAGAGGGCAGAGGCAGGCAGATAGATCATTGAGTTCCAGGGCAGCCAGGGCTATGCAGAGAGACCTTGTGTGGGGTGGGGGTTGGGGGTTGCTACTTATATAACAATGTGAAGATACTTAAGTCATTGAACTGTACATTTAAAACTTATTGTCAGAATGACATTTGTTATGCTCTCAGCATGGTTTTTTAAAAGCAGCTTTGCCCATGGAAGTGTACATACTTGAAAATCAGTCAGTCGCACATGTCATGGCTGAAATAATTAAAATACAAATGCGACTGGTAACTTGCAAACGAAAATGTGAACCAGTTACAATAGCCACTGTTCTGAAAATGCAGTGAAATGTTAGGATCTGATGTTGGGGTGGACTTCAGTCAAGTGTATTAGAAGGCTATCGGAATGCAAGGTCATTCAAAACACCTTCCTAAAGAGTTGGAATTTGAGCAAATTTCATTAATGGGTAAAACAAATGTAATACATTCACACAGTGTTGTAATATTACTAAGTCTTGGAGAGCAGGGAACTGTAGTGTGGCTCAATCATGAGAGCATTATGCAAGTGACCACTTAAACCTTGAATTGTAAACTGAGACGAACTAGGAAAGTGTCTCCTAGGAGCCAAGGGAGGGAAGACTGAAGAGTTGTTGTTTAGTGGGTACTGAGTTCCAGGTTGAAATGGTGAAAATGATTTTGGAGGTGGATAGTGATTGTTGTCTTCTAGAAGTGCAAATGTACTTAATGCCACTGAAGTGTAGACCTATCTTACAGTAAATTTTATGGATGAGCCATATCTCCAGCCCCAAGGGAGAGTGTTCTTTAATTCTTCAATCATATTGCTTTTTACTGGTCTTTTGAATTTGTCTTTCTCATCTTGGGTGCATGAGTCCATCCATTTCTTTTAGATTTTTCAATTGTTTGTAATGTAAGTTTTTAAGTTCTTGTGCTTTTTTAAAATTTTAATTGGAATCCATTGTATTGCCTCCCTTTTCACCTCTTAATTGTAAATAGAGTCTTCTCTTTTAGTTAGCTATAGGTTTTTGGGTCTTGATAACTTTCTTAAATTTATTTATTTTTGTTTGTGAGACTGGGTCTCTATATAACTCTGGCTGTCTTGGAGCTCACAATGTAGACCAGTCTGGCCTTGAACTCAGATAGATCTGGCTGCCTCTGTGAGTGCTGGAATTAAAGGCATTCGCCACCACTGCTTGGCTTTTAGTCTTCACTTTCTTTTGGTTGATTTGGCTATGGGTTTTTGGATCTTGTTAATCTTTTTGAAGAACCATTTCTTTGATTAATTTATTTATATTTTCTTATTTCAATTTCATTAATTACTGACCTGATCTTTATTTGGGTTTCTATTATTCTTTTTTTTTTAATTATTTACTTATTTATATTTTTGTATGTATGCTCTGCATGTATACCTGCATGCGAGAAGAGAGCATCCGATACTATATAGATGGTTGTAAGCCACCATGTGGTTGCTGGGAATTGAAATCGGGACCTCTAGAAGAGTAGCTAGTGGTTTTAACCACTAAGCCATCTCTCCAGCTCTGGGTTTCTATTATTCCTGTTTTTACAAGGCTCTTAGAGCACTAAATTATTTATTTGAAGTCACTCTGCTTTTTAAAAATATTTTTTACTGGGACAGGAGGAGCACACATTTGTCATGTGTGTGTAGAGGCCCAGGAACTGTATATGGATGGAGTTGGTTCTCCTCTCCCACCTTTTTGTGGTTTCTGGAGACTAGATTCAGTTATCAGACTTGGTAGCAAGTGCTTTACTTACTGACCTATCTCTTTACCCATGAACCATTTCATTAGACACCTCTGGGTTTTGTGGATTTTTTTTAAAATGTAGTCACTTATAGTGTGAATTTCTTTTTGTAGTACAGTTTTCATGGTATTCTAAAGGTACTGGTTTTCATTTTCATTCACTTATGAGCATTTCAAATAAACCTTCTCCTCAAACTGTGAGCCAAAATAAATCCTCTCTTAAGTTGCTTCTTGTTAGGCATTCTGTACAGCAAGAAAAAATAACTAGTAGAGAACATTGGTACCAAGAAAAGTATGGATGTTATGTTATACACCTGACCATGTGGTTCTTAGGTTCTTAGAACTGGTTTGCAGGAAGGATGTGGAAGAGTTTGGAATTTGGAGCTAGAAAATTGCTAGAA